AATCGGCCAAAATCGATTTAAATTAGTTCAAATCGATTTTGAGCCACAAAATCGCTTGAAATCGATTTGAAATCGATTTAAATCTATTACAGTGGTCCAAAATCGATTTAAATCGCTCAAAATCGGCCAAAGTCGAGAAGAGCTCCAAATCAGCTTTTTCCCCCTTGATTGGATCACTTATCTGGATCCCGGTAATCTTTATTTTGTGAATATGAATCCTATTTATTTGTCTACGTTTTGGCGAAACTCCGACCCTTCTGGCACATGTCTTCATGGGGATATTGAACTTAGAGAAAAAATAGGTCGTTATCTTAGGTTAACACTTCGTTTTTGGTCTTCATTTTCAAATCTTGGGATCGAAACCTTATATTTTTCAAAACGAAAAACGACATATTTTAATATAAAATCGAAAAAAATCGTGTTGAATACTATTTGAAATATTTTAAATTGGTCTTAAAGTTCAAGTAGAAGTTCGTGGCAACTTTACTTGTCTTAAACAAATTTTGAACTTTGTCACAGCACAGTTTGTAGAGAATTGATCGGTGAATATTTTAGCAAGAAAATCAGCTCCAGTACTTCGAACGACCGAAAAAAAAAATACTGAGATGGGCCGTCGGTTATGACAATTAGTCGAGATGTGTGTGTAAAACATTCTACTTTATAGGTCACATGTTTGTCCCTGCTGTATGTGAAAATGGCACAATTTTAATCAGCGGAGGATTGGGTGGACTTGGTCTGACAATGTCAAAGTGGATGATCAAAGATCGTGGTGTGAAACGTCTAGTATTGATGTCTCGACGAAGTATTGAAGAATTAAAAAACAATGATTCACAATACGATGACTGGTTGCATTTGCAGCAAATTGCATTAAAATGCGGTGCTTTTGTCGAAGTCGTGAAAGTCGATGTTACTTCATATGATCAAGTTTTTGAACTTGTGAAACGAATCAATGGAACACAATATCCGTTACGTGGTATTATCCATGGAGCTATGGTTCTAAAGGACAGTCTTTTAACAAATTTAACGCAAGAAATATTATCACAAGTAATGAAACCAAAAGTGCATGGCGCGTGGAATTTGCATGTTGCAACACAAGTCACTGCCAGTCCACTTCACTTTTTTGTCATGTTATCATCTCTGCGAAATCATGCCGTAAATTTCGGTGCATCTAGTTATAATGCTGGAAATGAATTTCTTGAATCCTTAGCTCATTGGCGATTTAATCGCAAACATCTTCCGGCATTGTCTGTCTGTTTGCCAGCAGTATCCGGTGCTGGTTTTTTTCACGCGAATCGTGAAAGATTGACAGATATACTAATTGCCGATGGATACGAAACGTTACCAGCTATTATTGTATTTAAATTAATGGAGAATTTATATATAGATCAACAAAAGCAAACACGTTTAGATGCCGTTTCCGTTTCATGCCCAATCATATTTGCTGCTAATTGGACAGTACTTCAATCGAGGCGAGATGTTCTACAAACAAGACTTGTGGAGATCGTAGAAGGCGAATATCATCGTATAACTAAACAAGGCGGTGAAACTAAGAACGGCGAATATTTTACAGACTCAATAATCATGGATATTGAGACAATTCGAGATAAGGTGCGTGCGGCAATAGCAAAACTATTTGGCTCATCGAATGTCGATCGAATTGATGTTCAAAAATCATTGACAGAACAAGGCCTCGATTCACTCATGGGGGTCAGTTTAATCAACTGGATAGCGAAAGAGTTCAAAGTGAACATTCCAGCTAGTGAAATAATTCAGGGTATGTCTATTGATAATATAAGCGAGTATATACAAACGAAATTAGTCGAACGAAATTCGACATCCAATGTCATTTCGACTGATCCAGCAGCAGAAACATTTAACAAGATTTCAGAAACAAACGAAAGTGTGATAAAAACCAAATCCACTGGCGAAGCATACACTGGCATATCATTCATTGTACCATTTTATCGATCACCTAACAATACAGCGTCACCCTCATTGTTTTGTATACATGATATCACCGGTTTGGCTCAGACATTTTCGTCGTTCGCAACCAAATTACACGAGGTTTGCGAAAATTCACCATCAATCTATGGTTTTCGTGCCAGTGGCTATCAGCAACAGGAATTGCCTATGAAAACAATTCAATCGATTGCCGAAGAGTATATTTCACAAATGAAAAGAATACAGCCGTGGGAACCGTATATTATTCTCGGTTATAAATTTGGTGCATTGGTTGCTTACGAAATGGCATATCAACTGAAAAAACTCCATAACAGCACGGTTCAATCACTGATATTCATCGATCCTGACACATCAAAACAAAATAACGATGAAATGACGGAAATTGTACAACAACAACAAAATTCAGTACATCATCCAATGACAAATGGTGACATAGCTATTGAGCCTGCTGGAATGGTGGAAACTGTAAAACAAAAACAAAATTCAGTACATCATCCAATGACAAATGGTGACATAGCTATTGAACCTGCAGGAATGGTGGAAACTGTAAAACAAAAACAAAATTCAGTACATTATCCAATGACAAATGGTGACATAGCTATTCAGCCTGCTGAAATGGGAGGAACCAAACAACAATGTTCTAACGAAGAAAATCCAAAAGAATTTGCTGATCAAGTCATTAGTGCGTTAGTAGAGGCTAAACAAAATTATCAATTCCACTCTCCAGATGTGAAAAATATCGCTGAAAACATTCTCATGATTAGTAGTGATAATAACCAAGAGCAAAGAGAAGTTTGGCAAAAATTAATACCACACATAGAAATAGAGCAAATACAAACAACCAATAATGACCTATTCGAAGTAGCAAATGTTGACATCGTCATCAGTAAAGTAAAAGAGACATTGAAAAACAGAATCAAGATGTTTTAATCATAATAAAATCTGTAGAGACTTAAAAGGGTTAGCAAAAATCCTTCGTAGGCAATTGGTTACAACCTGTTCATAAGAGCACAGTGATCTATTGGTAAGAAAACTGGCCCTGCATTAAGTCGATAATTGGCTTTGTTTGTTAGATTTTAAAGAAAACTCTTCTGGATTTTTTTCATTAAAATAAATGCTTATGCCCAGGACGATGATTATGACAGCCGTAAACGGCCGTATACTACAGTTTACGATGATGGATATTGTAGTATACGTCAAAATACGACGATGTTTACGACGAAATACGATGAAGTCTACCGTGGAGAAGGATTACGACGCCGTATTTTGTCTGGAATGGATGCGACCGTTTACGATAGGATACGTCAAAATACGACGTCGTAAAACTCGTCGTATACTGCTAATTTAAATTGCTAATCCAGTCACCGTTTTGCTATATACGATTGATTCCAGTATGTTTTACTCGGACTTTTCTTCGAGAACATAGTGCAATCAAATTTTAATGCGTTCGTCGAGCAAACAATGCTTTTGTCATGTTATAAGCTCTATCTGAAAAGGAAAAATCAGTATGAATTAGAGGGTCAGGCAGTAAATTCGGAGTATGTACACAGCAAATTCAGCTCTCTGTTCCCTTGTCTAAATAGGTCTCATTTTCGCAAGTCACAGTGTTACACTATCGGATTTTTGGACAAATTTTCTTTTGAGACGCACTTCTTTCGCAGATTAACTAAATCTGTATATGCCACAAAAAAGAATGAAAAACAACTTTTGACATAAAAGGGTCTCTTAAAAAAGCATGTTTCTTAAGATAGCTGAGACGCTGATTTCACCATATTTTACCCGGTTTTCTCTTCGGGAATATAATGCAATTAGGGTCAGTCATTCATCTCAGACTCACTTTGAAGTTGCGATCAAAACTTGTACATAATAGTTTTATTAACACGCCCTCTCTTTGTCTAAATCCTTTTTACTTGTCATAAGAATCATATTAATAGTTTTTTCTCATGTATTTCTCAATTATGGTTTGCCATATAACTGACATTTGATCTCAGAATAAAAGTGAGAGCGGTTATATGTTTTATAGTTCGCCTGTGAGTTTTACCGTAAGGTAACGTTTGTCATATGTGAAGAAAACATTCACGCTTGGACTTTCAGAGAATGTATGTATATCCGTAGATATTATCGCTAGGATCAGTTCGTTATTAGAGCCAATCTAATATTCTGCAAATGAGGCGGAATGGCTGAGCCCCAATCCTTGCGTCAAACAGGACCGAACTGATCATCGCTGCATCCTGAGAGTCACTAACAGCAAAGCGATCTTATATCGAGGATACTCACCATTATTATGATATCAACCTTTCATGCATTTCTCACTTCTGTGCAGCTTTATTTTGAGATCTTTACACAGCAAACATTAACTGAATCTATACACTGAGAAAGCCCCTATATTTGCTGCATTTCATGAGAAAGAAGACCCATTTTTGATACCCAAAATGAATGAAGAAAAATTGTACTTACTCTGTAAATTGGTTATTTTACTGATTTAGTTCTACTTTAAAAAGGTTCAAAAAGCAGATATAAGCTGCAAAAAGTTCGAGTATAAAAGTAGTACTTTAAGAAATAAAGTGCCTTGTATAACAGGCACTGTTTTTTGTCTCGTTTAAAATGAGAAAAAACCGTCCGTATCGTCAATCATACACGTGGCGAGAATATATATATACGTTTAAAGGAAGCGTATTTCTTCGTTTGAAGAAAAATGTTAGAAAAGGATAGATTGCTCCTCGTGCTTATCCACGTAATATAAATGTATATATATATCGCCACGTGCATCATTGACGGTGCCAACGTTTTTTTCTCATTTTAAACGAGACGAAAAACATGTCTGTTATATAAGGCACTTTATTAAACTAGTGAAAATAAGACCTATTTAGGTAAGGGAACAGACAGCTGAATTTGCTGTGTACATACTCCGAATCTACTTCTTGAGCTTATAACATGACAAAAGCATTGTTTGCTCGACGAACGCATTAAAATTTGATTACACTATGTTCTCGAAGAAAAGTCCGAGTAAAACATACTGGAATCAATCGTATATAACAAAACCGTGACTGGAAAAATGTGGAACTAGTGCGTATTGGTGCAACATAGCATGCGCACTGGCAGTGCCAACCGTTTTTTAGTCTTATACTGCATCTTGAAAATAAATTTTCACATCAAATCTGCTACGATAACGTATAGTATAGAAGGAAAAAATTGAATGAATACTTGTATTAATAAAATCTTCAGATGGCTGTGAATATATTTGTCGAAATGCGCATTCGCAGGAAATCAGTGTACTTTATTTCGTTTCCTGGTATAATCAATAAACGTAATAGTGAAACTCTTCTCAAAGTGTACATACGGGTGCTTTTGTGGAAACATTATTCGTAGGAAAAAGAATTTATCATTTCCTTGAATTTAAGGAGAAAGTACATATACTTATTTGTAATAAAGCATGCCACAATTTATTTGCTTAAAAAGCACGAAAAAAGCCGACAGTAAATAAACTGAGATTACCACACACACAGAATGAACAGGAAAAGTATCTCTAACATTTCCATTTGAGAATATTTCTTTCGGCAACAAATTCGCCTCTGGGTGATTTAACATTTGGTGGAAGTGTGGCTAGATACACCGGAGTATCAGCACCTAAAAAACAGAAAATATGCTTTTTTCTTCGCTGAAGTAGATAAGCATTCTTTACTCTTCTTCATTTATACAATAGTTTGCGTCATTTTTCCAGATGATTCTTTGTTCATAGTTTTCTGTTCTGCCTTTTTATTTTCAGAGTAGGATCAACCATTAGTAGGGTCCTATCCTTCTGTGTGTTTTCTATATTCTTTGATCTTGTAACGGGTGGCGCAGAATAAATTAGACTGCCAGTGTTTTTGAAATTCCTTCTCTTCCTCAAAGTCGATCGAGATCATTCTTATATCAAAAGATTCGCCTTTCAATTCTCTACGAAATGGTATATAACTGGTCAGGCTAGGTCCTAAGAAGGTGCGTT